TCACTCCAACGTCATAACCCGGGAAAAACCCCCGTTGATTGTGTTTTATATATAATTATTACTATATTTTATACCCTTGTTTAGCTAGAACGTTCTTAATTAGTTTATATCTGTATAAACTATAACATAATATAATAATAATAAATAAATAAATAAATAAAATAATAATTAGTTCTTGATTAGGCTGTGGGACTAGTAAGAAACGGTATTTCAATGATTTCTGTATAGGTAATAAAAAAAACACATGTGAAAACATTTGAACACTAAAGTAATGACTTTAACTTCGGCTAAATCTGTAATACACATTAAATAGTTTGTTATCACAAAATATTTATAAAATTAACCGGTGGAGTATAAACAAAACAGGAGACTATAACACGATTGTAAGTATGCATTATTGGGATAAAAGGACGTGCAGCTAAATGTAATGTAATGTAATATTAATGTGCGTTGTAGTAGAGATTTGGTAGTAAAAACGACATGTGATTAACTAGTAAAAATTAATGGAAGAATGATGCCATCGTTTATTGAAGATATATAATAAAAATAAAAGAAATAATACTAGTTAATTATAGATGACGCTATGAAGATTATACCATAATATTATTGAGATTTTACACTATATAAAATCCCAAATTATTCCAAAAGCACAATTCTTGCCAAACTCTCAGCTGTAGTCCCGACCACCAGGAGATCTATTAGATGTGTGTAATGAGATTTGGTAGAAATATACCTGTATAATAAGTGACCGCTATTAGAAGATTATAAAACCAATATTTATTGAAGATTTTTACAACTATAAAATAATTCCAAAGTTATTCACAAACCATCATCCCTTCAAACCTCTCATGCTGTAGTCACTGACCACCAACCAAAGGAAGACTATTTGCACCACCCTACTGTAGCTAATTTGTAGGACATAACCAAGTAACATCCACATGCTCCACTACATAGCCTCAACAAGAACAATATTCGACCACCCTTAATCGAGTATTCTCTCTTCCCTTTTTTCGCGGCACGCTTTGCGCCACATTTGCAGCCGTCCTAAGAAACACACTAAACACAATAAACTCATTTTCTTTCTCCAGCTGCCAGATTAGAGACCAATGTAATCGTGCACCCAAGCTTTGAGAGGACCGGCACGTAATCTGGGCCAATTTTGAATCAAAATGTGATTTGTAAGTTCGTTGTCAACCTTTTACAAACGGTACTTAGGAGACGTATTTTTGTGTCTGCACAACGTTTTGTTCATGAGTTATTGATCCGTGAATCTGAATCTGGTCTGCCAATATTTGTTTCCAACTTTACTCAAACTTAAGGCCAAGTAATGAGTGCTTATAGAACCCGTCATTCAGGTGTTATGCTCTACCCAACCTAACCCACCCCCTGCTGGCCGGAGGACCCTATCAATGGTACAACTAAAAACAGTAAAAGATCACAAAGCAATGCAAATAGCCGCAAACACATGGCACTTCTATTCGGAATCTACACACAACGACACCGTCCTAATTTAAAAGAAAGCCACTCACACATCAACCACAATGACATGCTCTTCCCAGTCACTCGGCCGCTAAGGAGTAAATGAACAGTCCACTGGCACTGCTGGGCAATGACAATGAGTGGCATCTATTGCACTCCCATACTCTCCTTGTTCATTTACATGGCCCGGTAAAATAGTTATGGGGTCCGCCTCAGTCAGGAACAACCTCAGACCCGAGAGGAGTTAAAAGTTATTCTTCTCACCCTTACTTAAGCGCAAGCGTGTTTTCCCAATACGAGCGACCCAGGAATCTGGTCGGAAACAGCAGTGGAGACTTGGCGTTGTCGTCTCCCCAATAGTTTCGGAGCGTGGTCCACTCGATGCGCACGGTCTGGTAGGAAAACGCGCGGTGCGAAAGGACAGAAATTTGAGGAACGTTGCAAAGATCAGGAACTTGAGGTGTGTGCAATAAATCAGGAAACTTGAGTTGCGTGGCATAAACAAATAACTTGGGAGCGTTGCAATTCCTGCCTTCACCGCACCCGTCGGATAGCGGCTGGCAGCCGTACAGCAAATGCAGTGCAGCAAGAACTCCACAGTGGCTTCGCCTCACGTCGCTTCCTCCGTCGATCCATCCCGAGGCCTTGCTTCCGTTCCCTCTTCGCCTCGTAGCTTCACTTTTCCGTTCTCCCGGCTCTCCCGGTAAATGTCCAGTCCTTGCTTTAACCGACCAACCGGGCCAATCAACGTAGCTCCCTGGAAGGCTGGGCAGGCAGCAGCCAATCAGCTGCCCCCATCCAGCTGATTCACACCAGCTGCGAAAACACACATCTCCTCCCGCCTGACAGGCTAACTCTTTTTATGAATGGAAACACACATTTGTCACCACTTCCGCTTAAAATACATATGCACACAGTATATATACACATACAATGCATCCTCATTTGACATACAAAAATCCCATCCCTACTGGCGACATTTCCTCAGTGGTTCTCAAATGTTTTGGTCACCATTAATGTAAACAATTATTTCCGAGGCACACGTTTATATGATCATTATAGTTATAAAAAAATAAGAGAATAAAT